ATTACTGTCAGCTTAGTCAAGTCTCCGAGACAAGACTCTGACAGAAATAGCATTCAAACGTTTCCCTCTCCTCCCCGTAGTGTAAACAGTGGAACAGGTTTCCTTACCAGTGACTCGTCGCTACAGTCCATATCCACAGCTATGATCACCATTTTGGACAGGGCGGGGTCCAAGGGGAACTCTACCATCTGGCGTCCCAGGGGTGTGAGGCTTCCTGTGTTGTCAAGTGCACCCAAAATCCACAGCTGATACATGGAATTCAAAATGTTGTCCTACAAGTGAATGCAGTGATGAAATGTTTTTCCTGCCGGCTAAGTTTGCGAAAGAGGCAGGAAACGAAGTTCTTACACACTGAATGGGGGACCTGGGTTCGAATCAGGATGTCAGTTTCACGCTCGAGTCACGTGATTCAGTTTTTCTTTTCTTGCCGGACAGTGCAACAGTTTTCCCACCCTCCCACCCTTTAGCGAGTTCTTGCCTAAAGTTTATAGAAGTGTATCAAGGTTTGGGCAGTTTTTTCCTGTTGTTGACTCCGATTCTGTTATCGTTGTGATGTTGATAGAATTGTCAACAAAGGGCTGTTGCATTGTCGTGTGGCAGACAATTGACATTCAGTGTGTGAGAATTTATTTTTAGGAGCTCGGCAGACATTGTTCACTGTGGCTTTTGTTCGAGATTCGATCCACATTGATGCATGAAACCAAGAATAGGCCATTTCAAAGTTATCTTGGGTTCCTGTTTCAAGATGAGTCCTCGTGCTAAACCTTTCGTATGAAAATGAGTTTGATTTGCAAGAACATGAACCTGTAGGTGGGACACATCTTCATATGAATGGTCTCGCACCAAGATTGGTTATGACACAGAGGCAAAAGGCAGCTCGGAAATGCCCTGTCAGAAACACTACAAATATTTCTGCAAGGCAACATCATCAGACCGTTGAAAAGTTCCGGGTCGGATCTCAGACATTTAATTCCTTCGCAATGAAATGAGCGTGGGAAGCAAGACATGTATTTGTAAGGACGGCTGCTTACTTGAGGCGGCGGATCCATGAAGTGGAATTCCAGCAGATTTTGCACTCCGAGGGACTTGAGAAGAAGGACAACATTGGCCAAGTTTGTTCGTTGGATTTCTGGCACCGTGGACACAAGCAATTCGTTTTTGTAGGAACTCTCCGTGAAAAGCCGAAAACACTGACTGAAAACAAGACATACGAGACAAGTATGTTATTACAAAATTAATCAAATTTATAACAAAATTCTCGCACGTGATTGGCTATCAGCAGCCCGATTTGAGCATTAATTGGGCAGTGTACGCGTCATGCTTGTAACTGGACAGTACGCGTCATTTTCCGCGCGCTCTTGCGGTGCACTTTGTTGAGTAAACTGCTGTGTTTTTCAGCATTCATAACGACGTTTAATCGTTCAGCGCTCAATCGATGGTTTGTTCGTTTCTCGAAT